TAGAATTATCTTATCACACACAGCACTGTATTTCTAGATAGAACTTGAAATGTCCTTTTTGATGATGAATGCCACGGCACACCTCGATTGTTTCGTTCCTGGCAGAGTAAACCATGATGGTCTGATTCAAAATGGCCAATGTCAGTCCATTCTAGCTCACTAATGCTCAAGATGTCAATCTTTATGTGGTCTACTTCATTTTTTCACAGTTTCCATTTTTTTGCTAGATTCATATTGCATACAGTCTAAGTTCCAATTATTAATAGATGTTTTCGGTTGTTTCTTCTAATTTTGAGGCATGTCCTATTAGTAAATAATGTCCTGAAAACTTACTCTGTTCATATCATTATGAGAAGGCAGCTTTTCCTCTGTCTTATTTTGAGTGCCTTTTGACCAGAGGGGCTCGTCTTCTGGCATTATCTCTGACAATGTTCTGCTGCTATTCATAAGGTTTTCAGGGGCGAATTCCTCAGAAGCCCATTCTTTCTTCATACTGCGTTCTTAGTGTGGAAGCTCTGCTGAAAACTGTTTACCTTGGGTGACCTTGCTGATATTTGAAATACCAGTGGCATAGCTTCCAGTATTATAGCAACGTGCAAGCCAATACAAATTGGCAGACAAGTGGCGTAAAAGATCTCTTTAAAGTGTTAAAAAGCAAAGATGTCACTTTGAAGACTGCAATGTACCTCACCGATGCCATCATAATTTCCATCATCTCATGTGTATGTGAAATCTGGACAAAGAATAAGGAAGATTGAAGAACTGGTACTTTAGAGTTACGGTGTTGGGAAAGAATATTAAATAAACAGATAAACAAATGCAACAGAATGAAGAGAATAAATCCTTAGAAGAGAGGGTGGTGGTTAGACTGCCTCACATACCTTGGACACATGATCAGGATAGACCAGTCCCTGCAAAAAGCTATCATCCTTGATCAAGAAGGGGGTCAGTGAAAAAGACGAAGACCCACAACAAGATAGATTGGCATAGGGGTTGCATCAATGGGCTCGAACATCGCAAGAAGGTGAGGATGGTGCAGGACTGGGGAGTGTTCAGTACTGTGGCACATAGGGTTTGCTATGAGTCGAACAAACTCAAGCTCCAAACTCACTGCCATCGAGTCAATGCCGACTCATAGTAAGTGTCCATGGGAGCAGAAAGCCCAGTCTTTCTCCCACAGAACTGCTGGTGGTTCTGAACTGCCGACCATCTGGATTGCAGCCCAACACTTAAGCATACTACCACCAGGGATCAACTCATAGAACCCAATTTAGTAAAAATCCACATGCGTGACTTACTTGCCCAGTAACCAATGTGCTAAAAATCAATTTATTTTGATCCTTATTCACTGAAGATCAATTAGTAAAGTTTATTAAATTCATTGGTTTTCTGAAAGTCTTTTACCAAGTTCACATTTTCAATGTGATAGTTTGGGAAGGTCACGATTAAGAGGCACTTGGGATCTAGGGTGCTCGTGATGCCTGGCTCTCTTCCTTTGTCAGGTTGTCCCTTTTTTTTTGGCTCTTTAGGCTTTGTCTTTACTCCAAGGTTTGATCTTCCTTTAGCCTCACAGTCTCCCCTTCTCAGGGCTGAGAGTACTGACTAACACACAGTGCATTCTTCCTACAGGGGAAGGGCCTTCCTCTCTGCCCTATTTCCCACCACCTGTAACAAACAGCAGGGAGCGGGACACAGATAAAATAAACTGGCCTGAAAATGCGGACACTCTAGAAACATTCATGAGCTGTTAAAAATCATTCAAGAAGAACTGTTATAAAACACTTTAGTGAAAGATGCTTTTTTTTTTTTTTTCATTTAGTTCAACAAGCCTTTGACAACAATTGGTAAGTTTGATTAGTTTGAGAAGCTTATTTGACAAAATTGGAACTATCCTAAAAATGACAAATTGTAGGATAAATTTTTTTCAAAAGCTTTTGTATATATTTAGAAAAAAAACCAGTATAAACCAAAAATTCCTACAAAAAATAATGAAACTTTGTCAACATTCAGGAGAAAAATATGTTCTTTAGTAGACTAAATTTCTTAGAATCTCCCAACAAATTGGACATTTCTTCAAATACATGAAGCTGGTAGTATAACTGTAGAGTATGAAAAAGAGGGGGTATTAACCCAAAGTCATTCAAAGCACATTTCCCATCTGGTCATAAAAGACATGGCAAAGCAGTCTGTATATGAAGACTCCTGCTTACACAATATGTATGTGTATGCATCTGGATATGCATCAAAAAACTGCAAGATGCACAACACTATGAAAGGTACAGACCTAACTCAGGGAAACAAAGTTTTGCAAAGGTGTTTTGAAAATTGGCTCAATACAGATAATTTTTTCCCTTCAGATAAACTTTTAAAAGCAATAAGCCAGTATATAAGTACGGAGCTGTGTTTCAGATTCTTAATATCCATCTTAGTAAGAAACCCCCCCAAAACAAAACAAAACAAAAAACCAAACCAAAAAAAGAAAAAAAGAAACCCAAGCACAGGTTGAGGTACATTTGAAGAATTTTAGAGAAAGAAAAGCTACACCTCAGTCTTAGTGACAAATACTTAGAACATCTATTGAATTTTTTGTAGGGTAAAATATAATAAACACTGCCAAGATGAAAAGACTTTTGAATTAAAAGTAAATTGCTTACAAATAATCCTTCTATTTTAAAACTAATATTTGACAGAATGGAATTGTAGTATCCTAGAAACATTTTACTAGCATTCTAAAATAAAATATATTAAAATGTTAATAAGATTCCACATAAACAGCTTATGTTTTCAAGGAAGTAAACTTTACATTAATGTTTTAATTTTGTATTATGACAAAAAGTATAGGCTTTCATTTTATTCCTATAACTTTTGATCATTTTTCAATAAAGTTAATTTTCAGTTAAAATTAACTAAAGCTCTTATGCCATAATGCCCCAAAGGGCTAGGAAAAAAGCACATGGTTTGAAGGGCTGTAAGCTCCTCTATCATTTTATTTTTCTCTCGGCTTATATAAGACCTCTAACTAGCACTTGTGAGGAAAGGAGGTTTAAAAACAAAATGGTATAGAGAATTTAGCATACATCTATACACTCAACAGTGAAAATTTACAAGCAAAATTATTGTAATATTAACTTGATTCTATTAAAAATAAATAAAACTTAAAAAGTAAAACATTTTATGAATGATATTCTATTTTGATATGATATTCTATTTTCACTCTGCCCTAATTCCATTTTACTCCTCTCCCAGAAGCAACCTACCATGTAAACCCGAGTATAAGCCGACCTGAATATCAGCCGAAGCACCTAATTTGACCACAAAAACTGCATTAAAAAATATGCTGAAAAACTCGGCATATACACGAGTATATACGGTATATTGATCTGGTCACATTGGTGGATATAAATCTAATTTATTCATGTTAACTTCTAAATAGTATCTTATAGCAAATTTTCTATTCTCTTTGATAGACATTTTGGTTGTTTCCAATTTTTTGCTTTCAGATATGATGCAATAAACATCCTTGTGTATACATCCTTACACAAGAAATACATCCCTATCAATGAAATGGTTAGATGTCACATTCAACTTTACTAGATATTGCCTAATTGTGCTCAAGTAGATGAGAAAAAGAAAACATGTTTATATTTGTATAGATAGTTAGACCAGGTAAGAAGGGTCTGTGTATGGCAGCTTGGGTCATCTGTACACCACACACGAGACAACCTTGCTGGCTGAAAACAAGGGTGACTGAGGCTCTTGCTGATGAAGATCAAGGATTGCTGCCTTCAGTATGGATTTCGACTCAATGTAATGAAGAAACTGGGCCAACAGGTAACATCATGACAAATGGAGAAGAGGATTTTGTCTTGCTTGGATCTACAAGCAATGCTCATGGAAGCAGCAGTCAAGAGACCAAAAGAGATGCTCTGTTGGGTAAATCTGCTACACAAGACTTTTTTAGAGTATTGAAAAGCAAGAATGTTACTTTGAGGTACCTGACCCAAGCCATGGTATTTTTCATTGCCTCATTCGCATGTGAAAGTTGGACATTGAATAAGGAAGACTGAAGAAGAATTGCATTTGAATTGTGATGCTGGAGAAGAATATTAAAAGTACCATGGACTGCTAAAAGGACAAACAAATCTGTCTTGGGCGAAGTATGACTAAAGTGCCCCTTAGAGGCAAAGATGGCAAGACTTCGTCTTAAATACTTTGGACATGTTGTCAGGAGAGATAAGTCCCTAGACAAGGATATCAGGCTTGGTATAAAGTGGATGGGCAGCAAAAAAGATGAACGCCCTTAAGGAGCTGGATTGACACAGTGGCTGCAATAACGGGCTCAAGTGTGGGAAGGATTATAAGGACGAAGCAGGACTGTGTGGGGTTTTGTGCTATTGTGCATATGGGTCAGAGCTGACTCTATGGTACCTAACAACAACAACAAAGGGCGTTGTGGTACTGGATTTGAATGGTAGGTATCAATCTGACCTCATTCACTAGGGGTAAGGTTTTGGGAATAGGTCACTCAGAGGATGTCAAAGGATCAAATCACAGATTTAAGTTCTTGATATACTTTGGACATTGCAATGCAAATACCTTTATTGAATCTTATTCAAGGCATATTTCATAAAACAATTTAAAAATTTTGTCATCTAGTCAAGGATCTCAACCTTTTTCTTTATGGGTTGTATATTTTGTGGTAAATTGAATACACTGTTCATAAAAATGGTTTCTCATACATCCTTCAGAAAGTTGGATCCTAGTCAACTTGTTTACGAGCCAAAGAGAGAACCAAGATAGAACTCTGTTGGGAGAAAGGAGCAGGGTTGTGGCCCACATCAGTGTTATCGTCTAATTTTAAGACATTTCCAGGCTGTATGCAGTCTCTCTTCAGGCGCATGAATAATTGAGAGTTGCTATTTAAAACAAAAGCCCATAAAGGTATAGTCTCCAGATAGTTTAAAAAGAAGAAGAAGAAGAGAATTGGTCACATAACTTACATGAGTGAACAAAACTTCATTCCTGAGCTCTTCAGAACTTTCATTCGGAGTCCAAGCTTTCGCAAACTGCAGGAAATCCCACTTTTCCTTATCACCGTTTTCAGCCTGAAGTTGTTCCTTCCTGCCATTTAATGTGGTCCCTGTCACCTGAGCCTGTAAAATAGCATATGAATTTTACATTGTCATTTTAACTGGTGACATTTACTACATAGTAACTGGATTTTACATTTCTGTGACAGGCTACCATAAAGAAAATCTTACTATTTCAACCCTTTATGGGCTTTAGTAATACGATCATTCAAAATCACAACCCAAGTACCTAGCCAATGATTCCTATGTTTAATATGAACAAAGGTCAAGCTAGAGAAGTTATGCTAAACCTTTACTCTATTATATATATACTTTGAAATGTAACCTTTGCATGACTGGCCATTTTGACTACCTATCCTGTGCTTGAAAACCAGCCTCTACTCCTCATTCAAGTGCCCTCAAAATTGTGGGGGAAACATAACGGGCAGAACAAGGGGCATCCTTCCTATCTTGTCTAGGGTCGAGGTACAGGTTCTCTGGCAAAAATTAGTTAGGAACCGAAGAAGCATTCTGAAAGAATGTTCATTCTCACATAAAAGAAAGGACATGGGGCTTGAAAGCATTATATTTCTTGATAGCTGACCTTATAATTCTAAAAGGGTAAAAGGAGGATTTGGGATGTATGTTAATTCATTACCCATTCTTATTGTTCCTATTACAGAGGACAGAGGATAGAGTACCACCAATTGAGGCTTTTTCTGAACTTGATCTTTACTATCATTATCTTCAGATAATTAAGTATTATTTCTTTGAGAACACTAACTCTCGGCCTCTTAACTCTTGAAAGCTATGGGTCACAATGAGTAAGTTGGTAACTTGATTTAAATTCCAGCTTTACCTTACGATTCAACATCCCCCACATCAGGGTGTCTAGAGTCCCATTTGCAATAAGGTAATGAATATTCACGGAACTGCACTGTCCAATTCGATGAGCGCGGTCTTCTGCTTGCTTTATATGTCCAGGATCCCAGTACAACTCAGCAAATACAACATGAGTTGCAGCAGTAAATGTTAAACCCTAAACAAAATAAACCAAAGAAATGGAGATGTAAATAAACTGAGAACGCAATAGAGCATCATAAATACATTAGCTGGGTGAGAGAATTCAGGAAGACTTGAAAACAATTCAGTCTATCATTCTAGGCCAAATTAAGAAAAAATTAATTCATGGAAGGCAAGTGAAGTAGACTACTTGCAAAATAGTCAGGTGAACTATACAAACTCATCTGACAAGTATTTCAAGATTTCAAAAGTTACCTTGATGGAGCTATAGGAACAAAATCCCTTTATCCCCTACTAGAGAGGGCTCACATTACACTTGAAAATCTAATAAAACACATGATAAACTAGAATAAAATGTCTAATACATGGTATCCATAGCAACTAGGCAGATAGCTTTGACATACTCTATTCATCTAATTTGTATGACTGTGCTACAAAGAAAGAAAATTATATCTTCAGTCAGGTTTTCTTGCTATGAAATTCTCATGATGCACCCTGAAGACTCTCAAGTGTACTGATTTATATCTCAATATATCTCTAGTGTAGTTGTAAACTGTTTGTAGAACTGCATAATGCGATAATGTGACATTAAAAATACTAAGTCTTATTTTATAATCAATGTATGAAATTCTGGATATTGCCTCAAATTAAAACTACCAGGAAATATGTGACTTTAAGGCTAGAAATCGGAGTGACTTATAAACCATGCTTATGCTATTGTAACACAGTAGTTCATGATGCTAGCTGGTTGATAGAAATACCCACCATCCCCTGAGAGGATGTTGTTGACATGCACAGGAACTTCTGTGAGTGGCTTTTGTGATGACTGTGCTAGTTTGATATGCACTGCTGTTGTTAACATAAAATGTTTTCATATCATCTAACAATGTCATACTAGCATTCATTAAATGGAGGTACTATTGCTCAAGCTGGAAAATACACTGAAAATCAGTTACTTTGGGACAGAAATAAGATGTAATAAAACGATGGCGATAATCAAACCACCACCACATTAAACTGTGTTGCAATTTGTGGGAGGTAGCTCCATGAAGTATTTGAGATAATGCTGGCAAAATGAGATATATTTACGCAGTTCAGTTGTAAGTGGGCTGTACACATCCTATGCCAACTCAAGAGCAGAAAGCGAGCGTGCTGACATGATCAAGCCATTCCAAGAGCTGCTAAATAACAATGAGACACTTAGCTTAGCAAGAACAATGCCTTTTCTGTTTTCCTTTATTGCTATAAAAACATTATAGTCTTCAGGTGTAGGAGTTTTGAATTTTACTTAAGTTTAAAAAGTATGTGAAAGGGTTCAAGTTCATACACACATGGTTTTATTCCAAACAAAATATGCTGAAACCTGTCTGTGTGATTAGTGTCTGGCTGCAGACAAGTTTTCTCAGTAATACTTGTCTCAGTCTCTTAAGGTGCTTTCAGTGGCTTTCGAGGAGATCCAAGGGGTTATTTTACGTCAAGGGCAAGAGTTCAGTTCAGAAGTTTATGGTTACTGTTATTGGGAATCTCAAACAGGCATATATATATATATTGTGACAAGCACAGGATGATTACAGGGTCCTATTAGGAAGAAGTCTTAAAATGAAAACCGAGCTGCAATGATGAGAAAAAGACCAGGAAAGTTGCCCTGAGGGATTTTTCTCTATTATGACAATGCACCCACCCTGCTCATTCTTTGAGAGTACCTTATGCAACAACAATTCCTTTGAGAAACCTTACTACATCCATCTATAGCCCTGATCTTGCTCCTTTAGACTTCTTTTTGTTCCCCCAAACTCAAATGATATTAAAAGGGAACACAGTTTGTCTGCCTTTAGGATGCCAAAACCGTCATTTTGAAGTGGTGTAAAAATATCAAAGAGCATGAGGTTGACTAAGTCCTCTTGGAAGAAGCACACCAGCTTTTGTGATCCAAGGATTATAAATAATAAAATCCAAATCTGAAGGCGGGAATGGTATCAGACTTTTGGTTTGCAAAAGTCTATGGATTACAGTGGAAGCCAAAACTCATTTGCAGGGCCCACACATGGACTAAGCCAGTGAGTTCCCTCTGACCATTGTGGAGGGATGCGAATAGCCCTGTAATCAGAGAACATTGTAAAGTCCATTATGGCAGATGTAGTTGGGTTAAAATGTAATAACATCATTTGATCTCCCCTTTGACTCATTTAAAAGTTGTTTCAGTTAAAAAAGAAAAAAGGGAAAAAATGTGGATTAAACTTCTGGTGAATTTCCTCTGACCACAGACTAGGGATGTGAATAGTCTTACTATCATGCACAAGGCTTTGGAAAGTGGATTACTGAATATGCAATTAGTTTAGAATTTAATGTCATATCATCCCTTTTGGCCCATTTTATTAAAATTCATTTTATTGGGGGCTCATACAGCTCATCACAATCCATACATCCATCCACTGTGACAAGCATATTTGTATATTTACTGCCATCATCATTTTCAAAACATTTTCTTTCTACTTGAGCCCTAAGTATCAACTCTTCATCCTTACCTCCCTCTCCCATGAACCCTTGATAATTTATAAACTTATAAATTATTTTTTTCTTCATGTCTTACACTGACCGATGTCTCCCTTCACCCATTTTTCTTTTGTCTATCCCCCAGGGAGGGGGTTATATGTAGATCATTGTGATCAGTTCTCCCTTTCTTTCTCCCCCCACCTTCCCCTTCTGGTATCTTTACTCTCATTATTGGTCCTGAGGGGTTTCTCTGTCCTGGGTTCCCTGTGTTTCCCGCTCTTCTTTGTATCCTTGTGCATGCTCTGGTCTAGCTGGATTTCTAAGGTAGAATTGGGATCCTGATATTGGGAGGGGGTGGGTAAGCATTAAAGAACTAGAGCAAAGTAGTATGTTTAATCGGGGCTATACTACACCCTGACTGGCTCGCCTCTTCCGTGTGACCCTTCTTTAAGGAGATGTCCAACTGTTGACAGATGGACTTTGGGTCTCCACTCTGCATTCCCCCTCATTCATATTGATATGATTTTTTGTTCTGGGTCTTTGATGCCTGATATTTGATCCCTTCGACACCTCTTGGTCACACAGGCTGGTGTGCTTCTTTCATGTTGGCTTTGTTGCTTCTGACCGAGATGGTAATTTGTTTACCTTCAAGCCTTTAAGACCCCAGGTGCTATATCTTTTGATAGCCCGGTACCATCAGCTTTCTTCACCACATTTGCTATGCACCTATTTTGTCTTCAGTGATATTGTCGGGAAGGTGAGCATCACAGAATGCAGGGTTATTAGAACAAAGTTTTCTTGAATTAAGGGAGTACTTCAGTAGAGGCTCAATGTCTTTTGACTCATTTTTAATTTGTTCTAGTTTTTAATACTTCCTGCTTTCTTTCCAATTGAGGTTTTTCTATTTTATTTCTTGCTGTTAGCTTTTTTCATTTTAGAATGGTTTCCTGTATATGAAATCCAGGATAGGTAAATCTATAGTGACAGTAACTGCACTAATGATTCTTTCGGGTAAAGGAGGGGAGTTTGGGAGGAGATGGAAAGCTAATAACAATGAGTAGAAGAATGAAGAAATGTTCTAAAACTGATTGTGGTGTTGATTGTACACTCTTCTCAATATGGCTGAACTACTGAATTGTATGGTTTGTGAATTATATGGCAATAAAACTATTTAAACAAATTGAAGAGTATCTAATTTTTCAAGTAAGGGTTGGAGAGATGGAAATTTCCCCTTCAGAAATGTGTAGACCTAGGTGGGGGATATGTTGTGAAACAATAGCTTCCAAACAAATATTTTGATATTTTTGTTTAATAGAGATTTCTATGATTTTGCAGCAAAACTTTTTGACTTATACCTGTACAAGGCCTGCAGTTATTACAGTCTTGACTAAAATCAGAGTATCCTATACATGCTTAATTTTCAAAGATCTTTTATTAGGGCACTCTCAGATTTTCCTTAAAGAGAAAGATGAAGCTTTCTATTTCCTTCTTTTAAAAATCATTTTATTGGGGACTCATGTAACTCTTATCACAATCCATACATCCATCCATTGTGTCAAGCACATTTGTACATTTGTTGCCATCATCATGCTCAAAACATTTGCTTTCTGTTTGAGCCCTTGATACTATCTCCTCGTTTTCCCTCTCCCTCTCTGTTCCTCCCTCCCTCATGAACCCTTGATAATTTATAAATTATCATTTTGTCATATCTTAACACTGTACGACATCTCCCTTCACCCATTTTTCTGTTGTCTATCCTGCAGGGAGGAGGTTATATGTAGATCCTTGTGACCGGTTACCCCTTTCCACACCACCTCCCTCCACGAAGCTTTCTATTTCTGTAAAGACTTACAGTCTTGGAAACTCACAGTTCTACTCTGTCTTATAGGGTGGCTATGAGTCAGAGTTGGTGTGTCAGACAGGGTTCTCTAGAGAGATAAAACCAAATTGCTGATAATTTAATATATTTAT